TGGATTACAGGAACGCGCCACAGCTCCCGGCCGACAGAACCGTCTTCGGATTAGCCATAATCGTCTACCTTTCACTCTTTCTGTTGGTTTCATTCACTTTCTACTCGAATATGAAATCGTTTAAAATTCCCGAACACATAGTCCGATGACGAATCGTAATTCGCAATTTCCAATTTTTGCATTGAACGAAATTAGTTGGCGTTCGTGAAAGGAGATGGCGCTAATTGCTTCCATCCAAGGAATCGATTTTAGCCTGTTCATCAGTCTGGTGCCACGAATCGATCCTAGTCATCAGCAGCCTCTTCGACTGTTTTTCTTTATTTTCTGTTGAATTATTTTATATTCTGCAACAAATATTGTAAAGATGCTTCGTAACTTACAATTTCCGATCTTAGTACTCGTTGAATCCAGTTATTATCTGTGATCGGAGATGGCTCTGTTCGCTTTCCTGCAATGATCCTCGAGAGATCGATATAAACGAAGGTTAAAACATTTTTTTGGTTCAACCGAGCTTGAAATTTAACTTTTTAACACATTAGAAAGTCATTTCGCACGTTATTTTATTGCCATTTTGCGTAACGATTCTTAATTTAATTGTACTATTCTTTATCAGCACATTTACATTTACTATTATATTACATTTATATTAAATTTACTCTTTATAAATATGCCTACAGACAAGAATTTTAGGTATTTAATGCATCGAATATCGACTTAGAAATAAAGATATCATGTCTGCTATTTGGAATTTTGAATTATTTTGCAATTAGATACACAGAATATTTCTTTATATTGTGAAGAACGTGATAGAGTGACAGTTAAATAAATAAGCAAATAAATCTAAGAATAATTAACGGCAGACAGAAATGTGCCGAAGTTGTATAGAAAAGTTAGAAATAGTAATAATTATCGAATATTACTCTAAATCTAAAGCAGCAAAAAAAAAAGCTGATAAAGAATAATCCAATTAAATTAAGAATCGTTACGCAAAATGGCAATAAAATAACCTGCGAAATGACTTTCTAATGTGTTAAAAAGTTAAATTTCAAGCTCGGTTGAACCAAAAAAAATGTTTTAACCTTCATTTATATCGATCTCTCGAGGACCATTGCAGGAAAATGATCAGAGCCATCTCCGATCACAGACACAGTAGAGCAGTGTTTTTCAACCTTCTTGAATACGCGACCCCTTTACAAGTTAAAAAATTCTGGCGACCCTCCCAGGGCCATACTAAAACTATATCAGTGATTTTGTGAGGTTCCAAAAACGGGTTGAAATTAAACATTTATTATTATTAATTTATTAAAACGAAACTAGAAAAAAAATCGTCTATTGTTAAAAACTGATCAAAGATCGAATTAGTTCTAGCCATATGAAACTGTGACGAGAGGAAAAAAACTTTATTGATGTAAACAGAATGCAATAATTATAATTGATTAATAATTGTAAACGAACGACCTCCAGTAGAGATGGACCTTTGAAAAGTCGCTCATATGCAAATAATTAGAACATAGAAATTTTGAAAAGAGGAAAGGTTAATGACGAAAAGGGACATTGCGTCGTATCGTTAAATTTCAAAAACGTCACAGACTAGACAACAATGGTGGAAAATATGAGCGCAAGTTTCAAAGTTCCATCAACATTTTGTATCCAGAATAACGGATGGTGTCAAGTAGATTCTTCCAAGAGGATCTTTCTGGTGACTCGAACAGGGATCGTCTTTCGCTTAGAGACAGACGAGAGACCCATCGGGGAGAGAGAAAAAAGGGACGTGGAGCCAATCAGAAGAAAACAAAACCAAGAACGGAGATTGATATAATCCTTCATTTTGAAGGACAGATTGACTTCTTTCCGAAAACTGTGCACCTGCACACGGCTAGTCGAACCACGAAAAAGCAGTTTTCCGTCGGTTGTGCCCAACTTGTAACCAGTGACTACGGACTCAGACCGCCAACACCGACTGACGAATCTCCACACCTGCCGTTGCCCTTCTTTCGAGCAACTTTAGAAACACCATCAACTATTCGATCCTCTAATTGTGTAAAGAACATTTTTGTTCCTTAGTGTAAGTTTACTTTCATATTTAAAATAAACGGGTTTTTGTGAGATTCTTGCCATCTGTGTCTCCTCTGCCACACCCACACGCGAACGACCCTAGATCATCCTGACGCGGGATTAACGATTCCCCCTGGAAGCCGGCGAACTTACACTGGTGTCCGAGAGTGGGATAAAAAGTCTTCAATCTCCACCAGGTCAGCAAACTTACAATTTTAAAAACTATGTATTTAATTTTCTTTCTGTTGAGAAAAATTATTGTTGATTAAAATGAAAATTTCATAAGAATCGACAATAACTTAACAGAGATAAAGCAGGAAACACTTCCTTTAGTTATAACATTGGGCACAGGGAGCCGTTAACGTTTTTTTTTTAGGATCAGGATTTTCAGCTTCTTGCTGAAATTGTAGGTTTTTTTTAATGTGGTGTAGGACCTACAAACACTTGTCTTTTTCTTTTACCCGCGACCCCCCGTGAAAGGCTTCGCGACCTCCAGGGGGTCGCGACCCGCAAGTTGAAAAAACACTGCAGTAGAGCATCGATTATCCGACTCAATTGGGGACTGGGGTTGGTCGGATAACTGAAAAAACGGATAACCGAAAAGTATGAAAAAATACATTATTAGTATTGCGAGATCCAGAATTTTAGTAACGAAAATCACGCTCTTTTATTAACAAAAATCTTAATTAATTCACTTTCGTTTATGTAACGAATTAGAAAAAAAACGATCTTAGCCGGGAATGTGTAAACCTTCCTGTCATAACTAACAACATCTATTGTTCTCTGCAGAACTTGCAGCTCATCTTGTAGAAAAGTCTATAGTTAACATCCAACTTTCGTCACTTGTTTTAAGACCCTGGGACACCTATAACCTTTAGCTCATGAACATCCGATCACGTGGTGGAAACTCCCCACAAAAAGCTATAAAAGACAGTTCTTACCCCCTCTCGGGAGTCTATTAACGAACGCCGGACAGACGACATCGCGCCGATTCTCCGAAACCGCCGAATTCCGATCTACGATCGTCGATACCAATATCATCGCCAAAGTCGCGAACTTTTTTAAATTTGTGCTCTAGTGGATAAAAGACACCTTTATTTGGCATATTTATAAAGAGTAAATTTAATATAAATGTAATATAAGAGTAAATGTAAATGTCCTGATAAAGAATAGTACAATTAAATTAAGAATCGTTACGCAAAATGGCAATAAAATAACGTGCGAAATGACTTTCTAATGTGTTAAAAAGTTAAATTTCAAGCTTGGTTGAACCAAAAAAATGTTTTAACCTTCGTTTATATCGATCTCTCGAGGATCATTGCAGGAAAGCGAACAGAGCCATCTCCGATCACAGATAATAACTGGATTCAACGAGTACTAAGATCGGAAATTGTAAGTTACGAAGCATCTTTACAATATTTGTTGCAGAATATAAAATAATTCAACAGAAAATAAAGAAAAACAGTCGAAGAGGCTGCTGATGACTAGGATCGATTCGTGGCACCAGACTGATGAACAGGCTAAAATCGATTCCTTGGATGGAAGCAATTAGCGCCATCTCCTTTCACGAACGCCAACTAATTTCGTTCAATGCAAAAATTGGAAATTGCGAATTACGATTCGTCATCGGACTATGTGTTCGGGAATTTTAAACGATTTCATATTCGAGTAGAAAGTGAATGAAACCAACAGAAAGAGTGAAAGGTAGACGATTATGGCTAATCCGAAGACGGTTCTGTCGGCCGGGAGCTGTGGCGCGTTCCTGTAATCCAGCTACTTGGAGGCCGGAACCGGAGGACGGCTCGAGGAGGGGAGAAGGCTTTCGCGTCGTGCTATGTCGATCGGATGTCCGCACTGAGGACCGCGTCGATATGGTGGCCAAGGGTGAACCCGGGGTCACCAGGTTGTCTAAGGAGGAGCGAACCGGCCCAGGACGGAAACGTAGCAGGCAAAAGCTCCCGCGTGGTGCAGTAGTGGGACGGCATCTGTGAATAGACGGCGTGTCGGCACCCTTCCGATAAGGTCGGACCCGGTTCTGTTCTTTTTCTAATTTTTTCACGTACATTCAATAATTTTCACGTCCATTTAATCCAATCTGGTAGTTTTGTTACTCTCAGTCAGAGCGTCGACGTAGATGGCGATTGAAGATTTCGGATTGTTTAACGAATGCACTTAGTTTTTCATTTAGTTATCTCGGACAACAAGGACATACAATTACGTGGTTACTTTTTAAACGTCTCGACTTCTTTTGAAGGCGAAAATTCGCACTTTCAATTATTCCTATCGAAACATTATTACTAATCTTATAATTTGAAAATGTCGTATAATTTCTTTGTGTTTGAGAAAGAAAAAAATTATTACTAATATAAAAGCCGTCGTCTGTGTGTAGATTTGGAAATTTTGGTACGCACTGTTGTAAAAGTTGCCCAACCTTGCTGTATATGGATTTATGTAAATCCTCTTGTATAGTGTTTATCTGTGATGACCATAAATAAATGACCATTTTCACTTGGGTTTAATTGTTTATCTGAGGTATGGAAAACGTACTGTACAGTAAGTTAGGATAAACCAAGTTATTTTTCTTCGTTTTCAAATGTAAGTATTGATTAAAATGTGAATATAGTTAAATGCATTCTTTGCACGAATTAATACTTTTACAAACAATCTAATATTAAAATTTAATTTACAAATTCCAAATATGATAAAATAGCAACGAATCATTCCAGAAAAATGACTGTAATTTAGAAATGGTCGTTGTTGGGAGGTTATTGTTATTGGAGATTCGACCTTATATAATTCTCGAGTTTTTTAAGTTTTTATTAAATAATTAATTATTATATTTAGAAAATTGATGTAGTATATCTTACATTCTTCTTTTATTTTTATACACTCTTATAAATTGCATCAATCATGAAGTATCACAAAATGTACAGTAAAACATTTAATGCCAAACCATTAACAAGTTTCATTCCTTAATTTAATTTATCAATACATCAGCATAACATGTATTTTCTCATTTATGTATTTGTAAATTGTTTATTTTTCGTTCGGATCATTACATGTATACATTTGCAGGGACTCCTCTAAGTCTAAAACCATAAGCGTTAGTTAAACCTTGTCAATACTTTTACAGGTAAAGTATTGCGTTGAATGAGTTGAAACTGAATTCGAGTTATTTTGAGGGTGGAGACTCGCAATCAGCGTGAAATTACCGAAGTGTTTAATAGGATGCATCTATACTTTTCGGCGACTTCATGCCGATTGCGTGTCATCTCACCGAAATCTTGAATTCATTTCTTTTTATTCGGCGCCTTGCTTAAGCCGATAAAGACTAAACGAAGATCAACATATACTCTATGGTTTTAAACTTATGATACACTATATATACATATATGAATATAAAAAAGTACAATATTTTAATTATACTTGAGGATAACTGGCCAAGGTGGCGACTCCACATTGATTCTTTTTGTTTCTTGACATTTTGATATAACCACCTATACCCCAGCTTGTTCCCCAGCTTGCAGAAAAATTCAAAACTAAATTATAATTATTAAATTCTTGTATAAATTAAAAACGACATGGGTTTACCTATTTTTAATAAGCCAATAATCGGCACCGTCCTTAACGCTTCCATATCCAACAACAAGAACAGGCATATTTAATAAATCACTGCTGCAATTTTCATTATCGTAAACTCCATCCCTGATTGCAATATTATAAATGGCGTGTATATGCAGTATTACGTATTAAAGATATATCAATAGTAATTATAAATTCACCAACCTGTAGAATTGAAAGAATCGAGAACTTGCATCGATCACAACAGAAATTGGACCAATAGTGGCAATTGCATGCTGCAGTGATTTTTCGTCCCCACTTGGAAGATCCACAAATCCGTAACACGTAGCTCCAACGGATTTACTATTAAATCTGCAAGGGCCCTCCTAAAGAAAGTGTACACAAGGCCTATTTGTATGTTAAACATATAATTATTATTATTTAATTTCTAATTTCTTACTTTTCCTACGTAAGAATACGATTCTTCAGTATCGATACCTGCGTTAAGTTTTACATATTCAAACGCTTGATCTGCTGAACCTTCTCCACATCCTTTGTTACCTAAGATAAATTCTATCTATAAAATTGTTATGAAATCGAATATATCCAAAATCTAAGCCTCATTAATTTTATCTATAAGTCAGGAAATACTGTTCAGAACAGCAAGGATCTTGGCATGTAAAGCTGAGCATTGTATTCTGTATACAGAAAATCAATTACAAAGTAAAAATTTAATATAAACTACGTGATACCAAATACAAAAAGAAAAAAAAATGTAACAAGCATTATCGTAAATGTTGCAGAGAAAATGATTAATGTGGCATGTGCGCGTACATTGCTGCCCAACGATTTCTCGGCTATGTCTGGAGCGAAGTCCAATCTTGAAGCTACTAGAGTTTTCTTGATGGAGGCTGGTGGAAAGCAATTCGTCTTTCTAAAGCACATCACATATGTTCAATGGGATTTTCTGCCATTAAAATCGACAATATTTTCACTGCAAATAATGTATGAACGAGTGCAATCTTAAGTGAGCGCGCATTGTCTTGCACGAAAATAAAATATGCACTCGTGGAACCTCGAAAAAATTTGACATGTGATTTCTAAACATCGTCTCTGTACGTTCTTGCAATAATTGAACCCTTTGCAAAAAGTGGGTCTCAGTGGCTTTTCTTTATTTTTACTTTATCTATAGATTGGACGATTATGCTTATTTTTGAACGTGACAGTATATATAGGAATAAATGTAATCAAGTTTACGTATTTTCAATTCCTTAGTATTATTTTATGAAGTTAGTTAAAACATTTTTACCTTGTGATTTAGAACAATCGATTAAATTCTGCTCACTTAACGTAACCAATCTATTTGTTTTCCTTTTCTGTTGTCCTTCTAATGCTCCAGTGGCAGAGAAAGCCCAAGCAGCACCACATTCTCTCTAACATCAAATTTATACGTCAATTTATAGAATCAATTCTTAAAATTATTATGTTTTTACCTGATGTTTGACTTTAGTAACGTATCCTTTTTTCTTCCAATCGACATAATCTGGAAGAACTATATCAGCAACACTATTAAAAGTGAATACTGACGCCGTCGTTCTATTTACTGCTACCATCGAAGCGCACATCTTCTGTATGAATTCCGTATGGTTCTACAAAACATTTATTTTCTATATTACAGAAAAACCTTTAAATAATGTCCGGTGATAATAACAAGAAACGGCGGCTGTTCGAAAGCTATTTTGTACGCATTTTTTTTCAAAATGGTAACCCGTTATTACAGATTTAACTGTATTAAATTACACGTTTCATTAATTGTTTAATGTGCCACTTACCAAGTCGCTATATTCGTTAAGTCCGAGCTTGTAAGACTTCAATCCCAAGTCATAATCTATGTTATGCTGTAAAATGAAATCCAAATTTTGTAACCAGATATCGTGCCTTATGATTGCTTCGTCTTCTCCGTACTTCTTATTAAATTTAATCTGTAAAAAATATAAATTAGGCTTTGACAATTCTTAAAATTATAAATTACATAAATGTTTAATTACCTTAAAGTTCCTCCACTGCTTTTCAAAATGAAAACAAAGTGAAATATTTTCAGAAATAAGTAAAGAAATAATTATTACCTGTAAATATTTAAAGGTAACAATTCGCCATTAAATACCATAATAATGAAATTATAAAGATTTTCAGAGAGAGAAACTGAATTTCAAAAATCGCAAATTAGTTATTAGGAATTATAACAAACCTGGGAATATATTTTTGCCATTATACACTGCAGCATGAATATTTATTGTCACTTTACTTTCTGAATAAAAATTTCAGGTATTTATATACTTATATCGTTTTATCACGGTATACCAAAGTACAAACAGAACAAGTTTCATTGTTGTATATTTCCAGTGAAAAAATTTGAACAATTTTAGTTAGATGATATAATATTCTTTTTTAAAATTCTTTCCTTCTTGTGACATTAACAAAGCCTTTTGATCTTGTTGTGGATTTGCAAGGCCCACGAAGAGGCACCAGAATGTTGAATGAGCGGGCGCAATATAAGCAAAACTTTCCACTTATGAAAATCTGAAATTTTCGACCGCTGAGATTCGGTCGGATTCCTGAGATCTATAGATTGATGCATGTAATATTATTTTATGTAATAAGTTATACAACGCTAGAAAATAATATTACATAAATCGGATATAGCCTAATTTCAGAAGTTTCAGTTAATTCAGGTGGATCCGGGATGGAATCCAGGATGTTTTCATGGGTGATATATCCCCAATATGCAGAGTGTGTTTCCTACCATTTGCTGATCGCTATTATGAGCATAACAGAACATACTTTAAACGTAGATGAAGACTTAAAGAAATGAAAGTACTAAAATGTTGAACATGTAAACATCGGAAAAAATGAATTTTTTTAGAATCTATATAATTTATTAATTCTGGAAGATTGCCATTCTCTAGGACGAAACACTCAGATATTTTCTTAACTTTATCAGTTCAGACCTTCATTTGTAAGCCAATACGCCATTTAACTATACATTTATGATTAAGTATTAGTTATATAGTGCTTTTGTAATCGATAAATTAATAAATACGTTTTGAAACTATAAAGAACGAGCAATTATTTATTGTGACGTCGTCACAATGATGGGCTGAGTCCGGGGTGAAAAGCGAAGGCCGGAACACTCCTCTAACGAGATGAGATGAGATGATGGGCTGAGATTTTCTATTAAATTTTTAATTTATTTAATTTAAAATATATGCTTTCCATTTCAACTTAGTAGTGGCTTGCCCCTGTACATCATATTTTTCCTTTAACAATAGAGTAGTGCTGATCATCTATATAACACCTTAACACCTTTCGAATTAAAATAACGTGACGTTAGGTTTGGGTCGGAAGTTTTTATATAGTTACTCGGGGGCCTCCTGCTTCTTTGGTTTCCATATCCGGTCTCGGCTTTCACCTATCTAACTCCCTTCTCGAAATTTAGAAAAGAGAGAAGGATAGACGAAAGTAGGAATCTATAGGTCTACAATTTTTTCAAATTGCAGCCCAACAACTTTAAACTCACTTGACAGCCACGCAAATATTTTGGAAATGGACACTGAAAAACGTATTTCCATTTAAGATTACTTTCCTCTTCTTTAGTTGATCGGGTGTTTGACATTTATATTTTTGATTTGGTTCAGTTTGAAAAGATATGGCTACAAAACACGTAAGCCCATACCGGAACGACTTTCTACAGAAACTCGCCTATATTTAGGAACTAGACAAGTGAATCCCGCAAAATCCCAGAAAATTCTACGTAATTAGCCTTTGGTCAGGCGCAAACTCGCGTTCACCCAACAGTTTAGTGGTAGTTACAGCTTCTGGTGTTTGATGGGCTTTAATATATTTCTATCAACATGGATGTTCCGATCACTTCTGTGCTCTTCAAGTTTATACAAATACCTGAAGATGATTTCTTTCAATAATTTTATACAAGGTGGCGTAATTACACTGACACTGTTTAAAACCTATTGTAATTCCATCTAACAATCGAAATAGTACCAATTTGGCGAGAATTAATGAAGACACGAGAAGAAGGATTTCGCTAAGGGAAGGTTGCACTTCGAAAAGTCGCCGATAGGGAAATTGTGGTGCTGTTCAAATTAAAAATAGCGTTATAAAAGAAGATAAATGAATAACAAAGTCGAAAGTGAACCGAAACACCGTCATTTATTCACTATATTCACTTTCCTCGTGTGAAAGTGGAGTAATTTAAGTGTGGCTACAGTTTACCTGAACCTGGAATTTTTAGACAGAAGAAATCGACTCCGGCGCATTGGACGAAGACAGAAGAAATCGACGGGAGACGAAATCTGCTCTTTGTCAGGTATCTGAATGTATTGATATTTTACAGCTACACTGTTAGTGTTTCTAATACAGCATTTAATTTCAAGTGAAACATTCATTTTTATCGTCGGGCCTTTCTGTTTAATAGCCTGTATCTTCTGTCTACAGAAACCGATATTTTAAACGTTCGTTAAACATTTTAAATGTTATTATCAACAGCGATTTTCACATAACTATTCTCCTTATTAACAAGAAAAATATCTTTTTATTAATAAGATTTTAGTGGATAATATCCTATTTTCTTTACTGCGTCAGCATTACGAAATAATCTGGATGTTTGTTATGTTTATGTTCTCTTAGCTTCGTTTATTTCGTATATTTGAGGACATTTTAATTTAAATGAAAGCAAACCAATTCATTAATAAAAATGAAATAATGTTGTCTACACAGTAGCATTCTGTCAGCAGTATATAAAATGGGTGCAAATAGGTGTATCAATTATAGTTAATTTTGCACTTCGTATCACTTCCATGGTAAACGTACGATTAACAGTAGGAGTAGATAAAACACCCGTGAATACTGGTGGTGGGTCCGCACCTGGTCAACAAGCTACAAACGTGCAGCTTTCGAGTTTCTTCAAACACGTAACATCTAAATAAAGACTGGTGCTCACAGCCTCACAGCCTTCGTGGCAGTTCATTTGCAGATCTCCCATATGTTGCGTTACATTGAATACCCATTAAAACAGATTTTATAAAATGCATTTACGCTATTTTCAGGCAAATAAATACAGAACATTTCGAAACTATAGCATGGTTTAAAGGATCAAGATGATACAAAAGTCTTGTAAGCTATTTATCAACTATAAATCATAGGTAAATTCGTATTATATCGTATACATACTATCCATACCGTCCATTCTTTCATATAATATTGTTATTTCGTATTTAAGGTGTAATTAACCGAAACGTTTGCAGAAGAAACAGAACATGTCTTCTCCTTTCGTAAGACACCACTCAACTGAATCAACGAAGAGAAAACAGAATATAGAGCGCTCACAACCTGAATAAATAATTTCATATAATTTAAAAAATTAATTTAATATACCAGAAAATCTTTTTTTGTCTTCTACATTACCTTAGTTATAAAATTCTTCTTGATGTAAATGAAGTCAGCCATAGAAATGCCCATTGGAATTCCTCGAAATCTCTTCATGAAATCTATTATCTAGATAACAAACAAGCATATTACTGCACAGAATAAAATTATTTCATTTATAGAAAATTAATAAATATACCTTAAACTTGAATAAGGGAGGAAAACTGGCAAAAGAAAATCTTCCGACGGAAATGAAATCGTCATACAACTGAAAATGAAATTCGTCCAGAAAATGAATACAATCAAAACACTTCTTTTGTAAAAATAATAACAAAAAGAAAAACACTTACGAGTGAAGTCAGTGCAGAGAGTCCCCAAGATATAATGAGAATCCCACATGTAAATAATATGGAAATCGATGCGATAAGTGTTTTCAATTTATAGTCCATTTCCACAAAGATAGCCACATATGTTAAGAAGCAACTGATGTATAGAAAATGTAAATATATAATAGGGATGAAAACATTCCACCTAACATTTACCATTGCAAACATTTCCCATATTTCTGTATGCTTTGCAAAAATATTTTCCAGTTTAAGTTTCGTTTCAGGTGTTACATGGTTTAATTCTATCAAATCCGCACTTAGTTTTTTCATTCGCAATCAAACTAATATCACGAGTAACACAAACAGGAAAAGAAGAGAAACGATGTGTGCACCCCAATACATTAATCGTACAGAATGGACTATTGAACACAATAAAGCTTCGTAGTCATTCCCATTCAATTTCTTAATTGTTACAAAATATACCTTTAAAGCAATAACAACAAACAAAGCCATTAAACAGAACAGAAATACAAGTCCTATGAATAAGTAAAACTCAGCTTTATGCAGCAAATTGTCTTCTTCTTCACAACTGCTTTTAAGGCAATGAAGATCCAGTTTTCTGCGTTTAAGTATGCTAAATTGTAGAGCAATATATAGTGCTATACATACGTTAACGACTGAAGACAATTGCCTGTGATTCTTGTATATGTATACCAAACGAAAGCAATATAGATTCTGTCTGAATATTTGCACGAAGAAAAATACAACAATCAGCCATAGAAATAATTCTAAAACAGTTGTGTAAATTTTAAATGGAATAGAATTCTTTTTCTGTACTTTAATGCATTCACAGGGTTCAAAAATATCAATGCCAAATACTCTAACAGCAGAAGTAACAGGACTTAGTTTGTATACCGGGCATGTCTGTTGTTGATACTATTCCAAAGTGGTTTGCATAATGATTGTAGTTTGTTCTTTACTGAAATCGTTTACAGCTGTTTAAAATAATATAAGTCTTGTTTAAATAAAATCTGAAAGACAGTTAAATATATAAGAAATGTTCGCTACTTACGTTGAATTGGTGAATATCAGTTAATATCAGATCTCTTCCTCTAAAACTCGGTTTCTATGTAAAGAGTATTTTATTATTACCTTGTTCAATATATTAAAAATATGAAATAATACTGTACAAGCATCCATTCTCTATCGTATTTGCTATTTTCTGTTAGATACCGAACAATAATGATAGTTCATCGATTTTTTTCTAGATGCATTTAACGTAATTTCTTTAAACAAAAACTGATTTATGCTGCATCCATTAATTGAATCGGAACTATACTCGTGCGTTTATTCGGCGTAATATTACTATTGGGTATTATATTCTACCTAATGTCTTATGTATGTTATATAAGTATTCTGTTATATAAGTAGAAACGAGTTCCTGTTTCAGCAATGAATTGCGTATTAGAAATATAAATAATTTATGTTTGCGATTATTTTATTGCGACACGTGTAGCTTTGAATAATTCTTATATCTGTAAATCATTAAAATGGAACACCATGAAGAAGTATGCATTTCTAAAGAAAATTACTCTATTTTTAATATTAGTAAACCCGCAAGTTAGAATTTTGTTATTCAAAACAATTCACGATTTTTTGAGCACATTTCATATACACAATTATTCTAAATCTTTAAATTTAAAAATGAAACTTATTCGAAAAACGTTACGTTCTGTTTTGGAACGATAATCTTAAGCCTGAGGATGGCGTATAATAAATAGGTTGAAAACGTTTGAAGTAAAATAATTTTATGCTCGGCATAAATTCAGGTATGTTGTTATAATTCACTTATGACGTTTATTTTTCACAATATGCCCAAATAAGGTAGATATACTTCTGCAAACGTTGATACTCGTATTTTACTATTCATTTTTGTTTATTTATATTTTATTCACTGAGATAAAGTTTCAATTATTTTACTGATTTCGAATTTTTTATTGTTCTTAAAATATTCTTTTATTGTATTCCATTTTGGAACAATATGTAGCGGTTAAGATGTTCCAATGAAATTGCAGCTTGAAGATGGCCTATTAGGCTAGGTTGGAAACGTTAGCTAAATGAAAACGAATCAAAGCAGCCAAAAAAAGGTGTTTATAGACCGATTTTGAATTATTTTGCTCAGATTAATTTAGTTTATTGATTTCCTTTTCTATTTACAAATGATTCCTCATTATATTTAACAGCTGGAAATGCCTTGATTGCAATATGAGTGCAATCAATACCTCCCGCAATAAGTAAATAATCGCGTTTGTCAGCAAATTATTAGCCAATCAACAACCGGCTTGTGACATCGACACTGTCTCTCAGAACGAGAGACGGCCCCTGAATTTAACACTAATCCTCTGATCAGCTGCTCCTTGTGTAGTCAGAGCCCAGTGCGTTACCATGGCCATTTATTTATTTAAATTCAGTTCGAATAGAATATGTAGTCAACTTAAAACTGATACAGTAATTGCTACTTTCTATTCTGACAAATGTTTATTCAACTGTTAGTTACTAAACGTGTACGTATTTATTTTATGAATTTACTGTACATCTCATGCCCAATACAATATGTGACGATGTAAAAAAGTACAAAACTAATTCAGGTTCAATTTTTTACCAAGGAAATTTAAGCAAAAGTAGTCGCGGAGATAATTATGAATAATAAATAAATTTTTGGTATAAAATAGTTTTCGCTAGGTGTCCAGCATTTATCTAATCGCGTGGCGCGTGGTTTTCCATTGATATATTAGCTGCTGTAACACTAAGTTACAGGTTGTCGAACGAAACTAGACACGTCGTAAACAAAGCATCATTTGTTTAAATCGAAAATATACAGTCAGATAAGAGCACAGTACGAGTTGACAGAGACCTTCCGTCATAAAACCCGAAAACATCACCTCCTATCTTCCCCGCTACGGGCATTTCAACCAAAATGCCAGCTTCTATTTTCCCCGCTAAGCGCTCTTAGCAATACAACTTTGACAATGACCGACAAAACCTTTGAATATCCAGTAACATTAATTAATTGAAATAACGAACGTTTTCGACCTTAAATTAATATTCGGTCTTCATCAGGTTTTACAAATGCTGAGATTCTAAAACCCGTTATGTGCAACAAACTTAAAAGCATTAGAATGTTGTGCACGTGCGTTGCCATGGATGCATACGTGACGTTAACATATGCAGCATATCAAACTTGGAAGTTCTGTTATGATGGAGGTAACAACACCCACACCTCTATTTAGTGTACACATACTTCTGTTATTTTAACTTATTTTATTGTAATTTATTTTATTTTCTTTTAATTCATTTTTGTGTTTATAATACGTAGGCCTATAACATTTCGTTTGTGCTATGAATGCTGCATATGTTAACGTCACGTATGCATCCATGGCAAAACACGTGCACAACGTTCTAATGCTTTTAAATTCGTTGCACATAACAGTTTTTAGAATCTCAGCATTTGTAAAACCTGATGAAGACCGAATATTAAGGTTGAAAACGTTCGTTATTTCAATTAATTAATGTTATTGGATATTCAAAGGTTTTGTGAGTCATTGATATTTCTCCAGTATCCTTATAAGAAGATATTTAACAACTTTTTACAATTGTTTATTCGCAGCTATTCTTGTCGAATGCAAATTTTTCGAAAGCGCATTGATTTTGAGACGATGAGTGAAATAAGTAAGTTAATTAAATTATTTTAATTTGTGTTTAATTACATCAGTTGTTTTATGGCGAGTCCTTAATTGAAATCAAAACAATGCTTCAATACTGATTTTTGTGGCATAATTTAAGAGATTTAAGACTGCCATTCGTGACGCTTATTTGTAAAAATTACTCTACTAAACGAATCTCCAATGATCTTCAATCGATAATGATACGTTAATTTTAATTGTTATAATTATTTTTACTTTTCCGTTGTTATATATGTAAAGGTGTGGTTTGTGTTTAGGATCGGAGGCGCGGTTCAATGCTTAAAAACCAGTGACGGTTGAAACAATAAAACAAGCATGGAATAAAAGAAAAACATCTGGCAACACAAGAAGCAGAAGGTTCGAGATCTGGCAACACTGAAACAGAAGTTTCGAGAAGGTCAAGAAGGCAAGACCACGTGTTAATTAACGACAGAAATGAAAAGGTGGGAAAAGAAACTTTACAAGTCGACAGGATAAAACAAAAGAAAAGGATAACTTATGGAGACGATAAACCGTATTCGGAACGGATTATTAGAAAAGAAGAGGACACGCAATCCACGAAAACATGTAAGCTAAAAATTCAAATATTTCCGGGCAATAACTCGTCGTCACGCGCGTGCGCAGTCAAACCGACAATTAAAAAAATTAATTAATAAAAATTTAGCGTCGGAAAGCGGATATTTTTACTTTAATTCAGTTCTATAATATGTTTGTAGTCGAATTCAGTCATAAAATTTTAATTTCATCATAATTTAGTGAAGATTTAAAATTTTTAATATTAGAAGGTAATTAGCATAAATTACAAGATGTCGTGTTTCATCTTAGCTCCCGTTCAAGTTTATTGTCCTAGATACGCGCAAATGTTCGTTTTTACTTCTACTGATGTTTTTAGGCTTTTATTTCAACCTTGCCCGCTTTGTTTACAGGTGGGGAGATTGGCGTCACGTGATCGCTTACCTCACTTTTTACCACAAAAATTTCCTTACCTTTAAAATTTTATTTTTTTTCTCAATTTTAATTATTATTAACTATTTTTTTGACGGATTCTCATATTTATGTGTTATCAGAAGTTCCAGGTATTTTTTAAATTAAGTTTTACGCATTTATGTTTTTTTCTTCGATTTTTATATATAAAATATTAAAAAATTCAAAAATTAATTAAATATTATCGGAAATGCTAAACTATAAGTGCAGTGTGTTTTATAATATTATTGCAAACAGATATAGTCAATTATTTTATATATATGTTTATTATTATAATTTTTATAAATTATTTAATTCAGTGTTTCTCAACCTCTAAGGGTCGAGTTATAAACTCCGTAACGTAACCGTATCCGTAGCCGTAAACGTATCCGTATAGCATGGTTATAAAGTCCGTATCGTATCCGTATGGCCGTACCGTATTCCGTAAGAAAAGTTTGGATCGATCAAACTTTTACGGTAGTGATACGGAGAATTGACCAACTGCGCATGCGCTAAGTTGCATACAATTGGAAGTTGTGCCAGAAGCAACCAACAAAACTTTGAGGCAGACAACATGGCTACGACTACTCGTCAAGAATGTGTTGCTGTGATTGCATTGTTAGCAATAAGTTTAGGCGCTTTTGTTATTAATAAAAAGCGGACAAGTCGACGACGACGTCGGTGGCAAGTACGTCCCGTCAACATAAACAGGCCACTTTGCCAATTCTCGTTATTTCGTCGGATGAAGAACATCGATTTCGACGAATTTTTTAAGTATACGAGAATGAACGTGGATCTCTTCCATGAGCTATTGAGACACCTATGGAGAAGACTGTACAAGCCACATGGTCGAGCAATTAATCCGGAAATGAAACTTGCGTTGACATTAAAGTGAGTCAAAAATACAAATTATAATTAAAACTGCAGCTGTGTAATCAATCCTCTTTAATATTATAATATATATTTTTTACAGATACCTGGCCCAGGGAGGTAGTATTCAAAGTATGGCTTGGGATTATAATATAGGAAAGTGTACAGCTAGAAAAATCATACTGGAGGTCAGTACTTCATTCTCAGTTCCATTTTTTTTTTATATTAAAAGAAAAATTGTCTATGTTAAAATTTGTGTAATATTAAGTAAATAATTGTCATTTTTTAAATGAAATTTATGAATGTAAGCAATATAATAAATGTATCCACATTTGTGACAAATGATACTTAAAATTTATTTACATAGGTACTTAAAAAATTTTTCTTACTGTTGACCAGTGATTAGTTTTGTCATACCTAACTTCTGTCTATCAGTTTGATAAAATTCTAGATTAAAACTTAAATTTCTCTAATGATATATATATATATATCATATATATATATATATATAAAATTGACTAATTTATGAAATTTAAATAAGATGTTTAGTGTGTATGGTACATGTTCTTTTCCATTTCTGCAATGTTTTGTGTATTTCCAGGTCTGTACAGCAATTTGGGAGGAACTGAAGCCAACATATATGGCATCATCATCATATCCAGAATGGTTGCAGATAGCAAACAGATTTTGGGAGAAATGGCAGTTTCCTCTCTGCCTAGGGGCTATAGATGGTAAACACATCAAGATCAAGGCACCACCAATGTCCGAATTTTTTAAAATTAAAAAATTCTTTAGCATTGTCCTGATGGCTGCCTGCGATGCAGACTACAGTTTTACATTTGTAGATGTAGGAGCCTATGGGAGTGACTCTGATGCAACCATCTTGTCACTGTCAGCCTTTGGAAGCAGTCTCCTGTCTAATAACATTGAAAAATTAAACTTGCCAAATGAAGGAAAACTACCAGGTACAAACACAACCCTTCCATTTTCATTTGTTGCAGATTCTGCATTTTTTCTAAAACTAAAGCTTATGCGCCCTTATCCTGGGATGAATTTGCCAGAGGGCGAATCAATTTTCAATTACCGTCTCTCCTGGGCAAGAAGAGTTATAGAGAGCGCATTTGGGATTTTGGCATCACGATGGCACATTTTCCATCAATCAATTACAGCATCTCCTGATGCTGTAACAAAAATGGTGTTATGCACAGTTATCTTGCATAACTTTATAATGAAACATAATTCTGTGCCAGAATACTGCCCCCCAAATTTTGTAGACCAGGAAAATATCCCTGGCGATTTCCGGGATGAGCCATCTCCTAATTGGGAGCCTCTCCAATGTGGATCGCGGAATTCTGCACAGAGAGCATACAGCAATCGGAATGCTCTAAAGGAGTTTTTCATGAATGAGGGACATGTACCTTGGCAATTAGGAATTGTTAATCGAGGAACCCTACCAAATTCATAAAGATAATAAAATTTTAGAATATTTAATCGTTATTATTGTAATATTTGATTATTTTGATTCAAATGTATATTTTTCATAATTGTACAGTTTTATATATTAAAGTTTTTTTAGAATAATCTAGTCTTCTTGTTATGTCTTAAAGAAATTTACTGTTTTGTTTCTTTTCCTGTATGTATAATAAAAATAGTTTTATTATACATAGAGGAATCTATAAAAATA